TTTACTTAAAGAAGTGACGCTCTTCTTGTTTTTAAGCGGTTCAAATCCATGGTAGAATTGCAGTTTGGTACTAACCTTAAGGCTCTACAAACAAATTGGGGTGGTGAGTTTAGACCCCTATCCAAATACCTTGCTGATCATTGGGTTATTCACCGTGGTATGTGTCCTTATACACATCATGAAAATGGTATGGTGGAAAGGAAACATCATCATATTGTTGAATTGGGCTTAACTCTCTTGAGTCATGCCTCTATTCCTCTTCAATATTGGGATTATGCATTTACTATTGTTGTATATCTTGTTAATCCTTTACCCACAACTTCACTTAATTTCTCTATTCTATACATTGTTTCGTTGATCTATTTTCCTCAATCTCGTGAACCTCTTACTTCCTCTTTTGTGTTATCTCAGGCATCTATTCCTTTGGTTAACCCTCCTACAGCCACTGTACCTAGTTCGAATTCCTCTTTATCCTCCTCAAACACAAGTCTAAATAGTCCATCTAGTCCTATCTTGTCATCTAATTCATCTCCACCAAATTTACTATCTACTATACACAACATACACCCTAGGCAAACTAGGTCCAAATTCTTCATTATCCAAGATCACATACACCTTTCGCTCTTATTAGCTTATCTTGAACCTAAGAGTGTCAAGCATGCCCTTAGTGATTAGAATTGGCGTGTTGCTATGTAGCAAGAGTATGATGCATTGTTGCACAATTAAACTTGGACTCTATAGTTCATTCACCTCCCAATAGACAAGCTATTGATTACAAGTGGGTTTTTCCCATTAAGGAAAATTCAGATGGTCGGTGGACAGATACAAGGCTCGTCTTGTTGCCAATGGATTTCATCAGTTAGCTGGGCTTGATTTCTATGAGACATTCTCTTAGGTTATTAAGATATGTTGTCTTTTAAAATATGTTGTCTTTTGTATTGTTCAAGGATAAGATCCCTAAGATGGAAACAAAAATAAAGAAGGGGGAGTCTCCACTATGGAACTAAACGTAACTAATTGTTAAGCTGGAGGGGAGTTGACTGAGGTGAGTATGTGATTTGGTTGTAAAGGGGTGTTAAGAGGGAGTGTGGAGAAGTGAGGTAGGTTGGAAGTGGTTTGGAACATTTGGAGGAATTGGGACTCTCAAATTGCTTATACTTGATTTCTTATTATTTATTTATTGCTCTGCATTTGCTACTTGTGTTTCAAAAACTTAGGATCTGATATCACCTTGATACAGGCCTGACTTCATCTTATAATATAGTATTTTGGAATTTTGCTCTTTTTTATTCCTTTCATTCTCTGGTACCTATCATGTAATATGGATGTGGCAAACACATGATTGGACTTGGATGATAGTTTGAAAAAGTTTTTACACAAACCATTGGTGAGTTAAAGTCATACTAATGTCATTTCTTGTTGCATGACTTTTGGGTGCAGTTCAACTTGTATTTGGTAGGATATTTGCTGAAGAATCGTGCTGATGATCCTCTCTATCATGGATATTGACTTGGGACCGGGGAATGCTTGAGCTTTTATGCATCAAGTGATTCTTCAGCCTTTTGATCCAACACGGATGATTGTTGATGTAGAATGAATTAAGATAATTTTTGTTATTCTTATTTAAGGATTTGACTTTTTTTTTAGAAATATTATCTTTGTTAAATGATATTTTTTTAGAAATATATTGTCATATTAGGATTTCTAATTTGATTTGAATTGATTTTTATATATTTTAGAAAACTAATATACGTGTAGGATTTGGTTTATATATATTAGTTCCTATTAATATACAAATACCCATTTTTTTAGTTTATTGAAAAAAGTTGCTTTCTTTTGATCTCTCAGTTTTGGAAATGTATTAAGTATGGTACTTGTTCCTCGATTATGGAAAAAAGAGCTCACACATGATTCATTTCTATAAATGGGAGACAAAAAAATGGTAGGTTTTTTTATGATTAAAAATAAATATTATCCCATTTGTAAGGAATTTAAACATATTTAATCTTTAGAATTTTATTTTTGATAAGGTTTGATAACGATTACAGATGTATTCATTATGTTATTTCAACTTTGACATTGATAATAAGATTATTGAGTTTTGAATCGCAATTTATGTGCTGTCTATTACATAAGAATTGTATACATTTTTATTTATTTTGACAGAAATACATTTTGCATACATTATAGAAATCAAAATAAAAAAAAAAAAAAATTATGCCTTCTGTCAAGTTTTCTATCCGTGGAAGAAAGGAACTTTATCTAATGACGTAAAACTAAAAATATAAAACAACCTAGTTATTCTAAAATGTTCCTCTCGAGCAATGACTAAAATGGTGTTCCAATGATAGTCTGTGATGGATAAATTTAGCAGTTTCTTTGCAACATTTAATAAGATTTTATTAGTTTACTACATTGTCTTATTCATTAATATAAAATAATTTTACAAACATGAAATTACATTACATACCATTTTAAGATTAAATATCAGAAAATGTACATCTTATCTTACCTTTTTGCAATAGTGATGTAGTATCCCCATAAGTCGAAATAGAAACAATTTAAACTGTTAATTTAACAATTTCTTTGCAACACTTAATAACTATTCTCTTAACTTTTATTTGTGAATAGGTTTGAACAGTTACATTTTTTTATGCTATTTTTTTTTGGTAATTGTTGCTTTTTAAATTTGAAATTAATGAAAATATATTAATAATGCAAAATTTTTCTATATTATCGTCTAATTACATATTGTTACATGTTGTAATTTTATTTTATCCTAATTATAATAATTGTAGACACCCAATTTCGTCCGGGGCATACAAACTAGGACATGGACCTTTGTTACGAAGGGAAGGAGCTCCCGAAGCATACCAACAAGAAGACAGGACTTTAGAGGGCCCAAAAGCACAAATTAAATATTTTTATTGGCCCGGAACGGGCCGTTCCAAAATCAGAACCGGGCGTTCCAAGGTCCAGAACGGGCCGTTCCGAGGCTCCCAAAAGGCCAAAAACCCTAATTTGGAACGGGCTGTTCTGAAATTGGAACGGACCGTTCCAATATTGGAATGGGCCGTTCCAATATTGGAACAGGCCGTTCCAAACTCCTCAAAAAGGGCTTAAATGGTTAACTGGAACGGGGCTGGAACGGGCCGTTCCTAAAACGGAACGGGCAGTTCCTAACCAGAACGGTCCGTTCCTAAATCTGGAACGGGCCGTTCCAAGGCCGTTCCGAAACCATTAACTTTTCATCCAACAGTGTTGATTTATGAACGCATGAATGCACTGAATCTGCTTCTCTTCCATAGCTCTCAATGTGGCTGTACAAATTTTCATCGTCCTACTAATAATATCCTCCTTTGTTTTTTGGTTAATAAACAGGGTTAATGTCTTTAATTATTTTAGAAATTGTTCACACTTGGCCTGAGTGACATGCATGGATTTGTAACTTACAATTATTTTTTCCTGTGTAAGGTATGAGGCTTGTTGATTCCTTGTAGATGGTCAGTTCAGGTTTGACAATGGAAGAGATAGTGAAAAAATTTCAGTCAAAATTCAGAAAAGTTAGGGAAGAAATGAACAAATGGAATGAGCTTCAATCCTGCTTAATTTCACAGTTTAGGAATGCTTCCCATATTGTTGAAAGGTTGCAGGTAATCTGACTTCTACATTTACTGTAGTTTTTATTTTGTTACCCTATTTTCTTCCTTGACCTTGATATTGTCAATGTTGTAGTTCTGATTTCAGAAATCACTAGGGGGCTTGAAGTAACTTGTATGAATTCTGATTGTAAGCAGGTGCTTCAAAATTCAAACAATTATGGAGTTCTAAATTGTGTCAGTGGCACCAGAGATGCTCTTTTGGAAAAGCAGTTTGAATCTTTCAGGAACATTTTGGTTTCCATGAGAAAGACTTTGTGAGTTTCTATTATGCAATCCTTTCAATTTGGGAATGGTATTAAACAAGTTCACTATCACTTGATTTTTATTGCCAAGATGTTCTGACAAGATATCTAAAGTGATATGTAATACTGATAGGCATGTTAAGTTTATGGCTAATGCACTATCATCTTTCCAGTTTGGAATTGTTTTCTATATTTGTGAATCGTGTCTACTTAAGATAAAGATTTAAGTACCAAACAGTTGGTTATATTTCTCTAGGGTATAAATGAGTCGTGCCGAGTTGAACACGAGTTTAGGCTTGGCTTGCAAAAAAACATGAGTCTATCAGAAAGCTTGAGCTTAAGCTTGTTTTAAAAAAATAAAGCTTGAGTTTCACTTGTTTAGCTCATTTATAACATAATTCTGTTTTTATGATGTTTTAAATCTATTTTTAACTTTATTAATTTAGTATTTAATAAATATTTTAATACTAAATCATAATTAATATTGAAATATGTGCTTAACATGTGGTTTATCGTTTATGAAATTCAAACAATCTAAACTAAACTATTATATTTACATAATCTAATAAATAAAATTTCATAACTTATTGACTACAAAAAATAAACTTCAAAATTAATTTTAACGTTGTGAACAAAGTTGTACATATTTACAAAATGAATATATAAATAACAAAAGCTAGAAAATACTCATTAATTTAAATAAATGACCAACTCATGAGCAGTTAATGCTGATTCTGTTAAGTTTGGGCTTGCCTCATTTAAATAATAAGCTTGATCTCAATCTATTAGTTTTTCACTTACTGTGGTTTTATCCTTCTTTAGATGTTCTTAATATTGCTTTTTGGTTCTGCTTTTATGATCAAGGTTATGAGCCTTAATGTATTTATGTGAAATTTGCAAATTCACAAGAAAATGGTGAAGGCAAGACCTTTAATCATTAGTTCAACTTGTTGAATCTAGAGAAGATAGTTTACTAAGTCTAATTTCTCAGAGATTGAATGAGAGAATGTTATGGCCATCATGTTTTGCGGGGAAAAGGAAGAAAGAGGCTCTGCTTTGAAAGACAGAGGATGATGATCAAAAAACATGGTCTTATTGCTCAAATTGTGCTTTGATATTTTGGTTAATAAACAGGGTTAATGTCTTTAATTATTTTAGAAATTGTTCACACTTGGCCTGAGTGACATGCATGGATTTGTAACTTACAATTATTTTTTCCTGTGTAAGGTATGAGGCTTGTTTTCAATAATAGCATGGAAAGGATACAAAGGAACAATTAGGAATTCAAACATGACTAGGTTTGATAAAAAAAAAAAGACATCTCAAACCTCATGAGTGCTGCAAAAAAAAAAAAAAATGAAGGCTCGGCAGGAAACCCACTAAGGGGGCTGCGCAAAAGTTAGGGCAAGATCTGCTAGGCGATCCACAAGTAAAAATAGGAAACCTAGGCAAAAGAAAAGATCAAAAGAAAAATGTCCATTAGGGAACACATTTCAAGTGACCTAGGCAAAAATTAGGACGTTAAAGCAGCAACCTGAGTTGAAAACTGAAAGGCTGCTCAGAGGAATCATCCAATTAGAGTACGACCCCAAGTCATCACTCCACTTTCCAAAAAGGCTAAAACACAATGATAGCTTCCTTGTAGCAAATACGTTTTGTTTGATAACCCTAAACACTAAAGCCTACCTTGGCCAGCCCTTCTTCTAAAAAACCCTTTTTGAAAAATCCCTTCTAACAACCCTTTTGAAAAAAAAAACAAAATAATAATATAACATTCCTTCCTTCTTTTCTCTTGACCCTTATGGCATTAAAATGGTACTGAAAAGATACACGGAAAATGCACAGTGAATACTCACAGAGGGAAGGCCGAGATGTCCTCAAACAGAGGTTAGAGACGCTTGACCACACATCGACTAGATAGTCAAGGAGCCACTGAAGCTTGGGCTCAAAAGAACATATCCCGACAGTAATCAAGATTGGCATGGATAGAAAGAAATCGTCAACATTAACCTTAATGCGTACAGGTTAATTTCCCGACATAAAAAAAATTAATTGCATCTTTAGGAACAAATACATGAGCATAAACTGCATCGCATGCATATGAGTTAGGGGCATATGGAAGGGCGTTACACCAAAAAATAAATAAAAGAATCATTCCTGTCTTGCATTTTCATTGCATCCATGCATCCATGCATGCTACTTGCTATGGGTCAGAAGGACTCATCAGGACAAAGCACTCATAAAAGTTCAACAGCTAAGCATGAATGGAATCGACCAAATAAGAAAACCCACAAGCAGAAAGAGGCCATCGCGCTTCGATTCTCAACCAAATGAAGGATGATCCATGAGAATGCCAAGACTGGGAAAGGTTTCCTTACCAAAGCTAGGAATGGCTTCCAAAATAATACTCATCAATGAAGATTGAGCAAATAACATCATCATGGGATGGGATTCTTCCAGCAATGATGACAACAAAAGATCAAACAGAAAAAGGCAAAGCTTCATACATGTTGAAAAGGCCGAAGCATTTGGAAAAATAGCAGAAAAAGACAAGCTTCAAACATGAAAAAGCCGAACCTAAACAAATATAAAATTCAGAAAAAAAAAACCTATTACAAGCAGACGTCTGGAGAGGCATCACAATACTCACCTTGACAAGAACAACACCAAACTCCTACCAACCATCCCAAAATGAAGGCGCCTGGAGAGCCATCACAATACTCACATGGCAGGGGCAACACTAGGGGGCTTGAAGTAACTTGTATGAATTCTGATTGTAAGCAGGTGCTTCAAAA